CTTTTTGAAAATAATACACTAAATATTGTTGAAATCTCCATCTTAACAAGTAGTCCAAGTCAGAGTTGTTCACCTGTCTCTTCTATATATGGCTTACTATTACTTTACCCTTGGCCTATGACATCAACAGTCAATTATATATGACACCCTTCTTAGTCACACACTCTAGAGACATATAGATCTCTAATTGAACAATTTAAAAAAGTTTAATTGATACATCTCTATTTTCACCATTTTCAAGACCAGACTTACAAGCATATGAGAGCAAGACAGTTGTTCACTAAACGTCAAATGGAGTGCCTAATAATTGGCGACGTACTCCCGCCATGAGTGGGCGATAATATGATTTGAAAAACAAAATGAAAAGTAAAGACCCAAAAATTGATTTAACGAGGCAGTATAGACTTGGTAAGCAAACATTTTTTGTCATAATGTTAACAGGATCATTTCTTTGTTGTCAAGCATTCATTTGACTGGTCAGGCATCAGGTGATGTCCTAAGAATAAAGAAGATTGAGTTTCTATTCTACATCAACAATGCACGGATTGTGGGAAGTCCACTATGGGTTAGTGTTGTCGCGATTAATCGATACATCGCGATATACATCGCCAAAGCTGGTTCTGGCGATGCATCGATGTCTGAAACAAAACATCGATGTTTTTAAAAAATTTTAATTTGCTAAAAATCGCCCTTTCTTATCTTATTTTGACTCAAATTGCTTACCTTTTTTCATGTCTTATTTCATTTTCAAATGTTTTCTGATATTCTTTCGCTTTAAAACTGTTTTAGCTAGTCGAAATGAACCATCAAAAAATTACTTTACTTTCATTTCACCGTTACTATGTTCCCGGATGTACCAGCGTACTCTTATTAATTTGTTCTGTTCGATATTTTAGTGCATTAGCGTTCGGTATTTCAGTGCACTTTTCTCGAACTTTTTCTCGATGTACATCGCGATGTGCATCGTTGTTTACTACTGAAAATTGCCGATGCATCGATGTACGATTATGGCACATCGCAACAACACTACTATGGGTCAAGATTGTGGAAAATCCCATTGAAGACCATTATAACGTTTCAATTCATAATATATTCATGGGCACAGATCTAGCTTGGCGAAGCAGTGCCTACAGTCTGTTAACTGTTAAAAATAATAACAACATAACTTAACGGTAACAGTACTGTCAACCCCTAAAGATTTTCTCGCGGGACAGATTTTTTAGACCCAGTGCCCAAAATTCGCGGGATTTTGTGGGACATCTACTAAATTCGCGGGATTTTACGGGACATTTAAGGGATTTGCGTGATTGCGCTAATAGGAGGTTTTTTTTTTAATTCGCGGGATTTCGCGGGACCATTCGAGGGACAAACACCCTAATTGCGGGACAGTTAACAGGTGTACCACCAAAAACTTCATGGAGGGACAGATTTTTTAGACAAAGTGCCCTAAATTTGCGGGATTTCGCGGGACATCCACCTAAATTTGCAGGATGTCCCGGGACATTCAAGGGATTTGCGTGATTGGGACTAATGTAAAAGCGTGTAGAAGTACTTAAATCAAACTTTCAGATACTGATTAATCAAATATAATGCACCGTTACATTGTAACTTAAATAAACGTAAACACAATTTCACAAAATACGCATAGGAATATTATTAAACTTTATTGTAATTTATCAAAAACAAAAACCATGCTTCAGGTGTGATTACCGTAATCTAACACGAAATTCAAAAATTCGGAACAATACTTTGCACTTCTGGCGTCGTGACCAACTATGAAACGCTTACCCCCATAATGTTATATATTAAAATGTACCTATTCATATACTGTAGGCATGGGCTTTCAATTGAAAGCCCATGATATAGGGGTTCGATTAATCTACATCAAATTATAGGGAATGAGGTTAATTTTATAGATAGGGTTTGTATAAAAAACCTGTAAATAGCTATCGTTGCTTTAGCAGAGAGGTGACGTGTGTTAATTTGCATGATGCAACGTGTAAGATTTTGATTATTAATCGTAATTTAAGTTATCCCAATTTATGACAAAATGTCCACTGAATTGTAAATTGTTATGTCTTACAATGTCATAGGCGTAGCCAGGAGAGGGTGCGATGATGCGATCGCACCCCCCCCCCATAACCAATGAAAATATGGCCATAACGATAGAGGAAGAAAAGTGCCTTAAAATATGCTTTTTATTTGAAGCTTCTAGCTCAATTTTGAATCATGTTACATACATTTTTGCAAATTCAAAACAAATCTTACACGTTTTCTCATAATCTAATTATGTTATATATTCGTATTTTTCGTTTTTTGGGTACCTGTTTTTTTTGACCGGGTACCAAGTTTGAACCCAGCATGGAGGATTTACTACCCGGTACCCGGTTTTTTATACAAACCCTTTCTAGATATCAGCGTACATTTATTGTAACTCGCGTTTGCTAACATTTGCTCAGTTCTGAGATGAAGGCCACACGGGTAGTAAAAAGGCCAACGTTGGAACTATTTGTGACCTACATCCCTATTTTCGTAATTAAAATGAAAGTTGAACCCTTCCCCTTTATTTTGATGCTATGTACTTAAAATTAGGTAAACTTTACTCCTCAAAAGTGCAAAAACTTAGCTTCTTATATAAGATAAGATAATCAAGATATTCAAAAATTCGCGGAGGTCAAAGCCACATTTTGCGTGACTTCGCGGGACAATGCGGGACACGCAAATTAGCCTAATTTTGATCAAATTCGCGGGATAATCCCGCCATTCGCGGGACACTTGACAGCTCTGCGGTAAGACCGGCTACAGGTCAGAATGACCTAGCAGTGAATAACTATAACTATAACTTCGACATATGAGTGTTACCTGATGAATGGGACCCTCACGTGCCTTCCAAATGGTAGTACACGAACTCTAGTGTAACTACATCAGCTTATTCTTCCGTCCGATCAACAATAAGTACAGTTATACAAGAAATGTAAACGAAGTGAAAATATTCCCCAAAATTTTTCGAAGGCATGTCATTCCGGAAGTTGTGATACGTTATGGTGTCACTACGGTAAATCATTGAAAAATATTGAAAAAAATCACAAAATTCAAGTTCTGGTGTGAGGTTCCATATCCATCCGCTAAAAGGTATGACACTATAAAGTCCATTAACAAATTTGTGGTTTTGTTCTAAATAACGCCATAGTTGGCTTCTAGGGTACCTAGTATCATCGTATCAAAATAAAGAAAATAAATAAAATATTTAACATAGGGTTTGCGTCTAGATTTTAAATATCACTACGCCATCATAGGGACTAATTTTTAGGTAAAATGCCTGCTTCAACGATGAAAATTAACGAATAAAGTAGTTCCTGTTTACGGGACCATATTCTTGCCAACTTCAATGGTGTGTATAGTAGGTTTAAGTGTATGCACTATGGCCATTTGAGGTATGTATGTAAAGCTGAGGCCAAGTACTTTCTAAATGTGCCATTTTTAGAAAAAAATCTCAAGAATATTCGTTAATTTTCATCGTTGAAGCAGGGATTTTACATAAAAATGAGTCCCTATGTTGGCGTAGTGATATTTAAAAATCGAGACGCAAACCTTATGTTAAATATAGCGTCAAGATGAAGGTTATGTATAGGATATTGCAAAAATATAGTCATTGTATGGGCTAATTCGTTCAAAAATGGAAATATGTACCCCAGAAGGTGTGAGTATTGTAATCCAACACCAAATTCGAAAATTCAGAACAATACTTTGCACATATGGCGTTTGTGATCAACTATAAAACGCTTACCCCCCCCATAGTGTTATATATCAAAATGTACCTGTTCATATAGGGGTTCGATTGATCTACATCAAATTATAGGGAGGCAGGTTACTTTTTGAGATATCAGCGTACATTTATTGTAACTCGCGTTTGCTACCATTTCCTTATTTCTGAGATGACGGGCAAACGCGTAGTAAACATGCTCACGCCGGAACTATTTTGACCTACATCGCTATTTTCGTAATTCAAATGAAAGTTGAACTCCTCCTCTTTATTTTGATACGATGAAATAGTGGCATACTAGGTACCCTAGAAGCCAACTATGGCGTTATTTAGAACAAAACCACAAATTTGTAAATGGACTTTATAGTGTCATACCTTTTAGCGGATGGATATGGAACCTCACACCAGAACTTGAATTTTGTGATTTTTTTCAATATTTTTCAATGATTTACCGTAGTGACACCATAACGTATCATAACTTCCGGAATGCCATGCCTTTCGGAAAATCTTTGGGAATATTTTCACTTCGTTTACATTTCTTGTATAACTGTCTTGGCACTAGTTCTCCTTACTGGAATCAAATTGTATTCCCAAATCTCTTCAAAATCTTCTTCAAAGTGTTTTTCAAACTTATATCATTGTTTTTTTCAAATCTTTATCTAAAAACTGCATATAATACTGCATATAAAACAACAACTCTGGATATCTGCAATTGCCTGGCAAGCTGAAACTGATTGTCACTGTTGGAGGTCAGGGAGGTCAGCAGTGACCAATCAGATCACTTGTTTACTAATGAACTTGCCAGGCAATTGCAGGTTTTCAGAAATTCTCTCTTTTAGACAGCATTATTCACTCTATATCATCTGACTGAGTTTCAATCTTAGGTAAGAGCTACAAACTATCAATTTTCTATCAACTCCCCATGGCTTTTTGAAAATAATACACTAAATATTGTTGAAATCTCCATCTTAACAAGTAGTCCAAGTCAGAGTTGTTCACCTGTCTCTTCTATATATGGCTTACTATTACTTTACCCTTGGCCTATGACATCAACAGTCAATTATATATGACACCCTTCTTAGTCACACACTCTAGAGACATATAGATCTCTAATTGAACAATTTAAAAAAGTTTAATTGATACATCTCTATTTTCACCATTTTCAAGACCAGACTTACAAGCATATGAGAGCAAGACAGTTGTTCACTAAACGTCAAATGGAGTGCCTAATAATTGGCGACGTACTCCCGCCATGAGTGGGCGATAATATGATTTGAAAAACAAAATGAAAAGTAAAGACCCAAAAATTGATTTAACGAGGCAGTATAGACTTGGTAAGCAAACATTTTTTGTCATAATGTTAACAGGATCATTTCTTTGTTGTCAAGCATTCATTTGACTGGTCAGGCATCAGGTGATGTCCTAAGAATAAAGAAGATTGAGTTTCTATTCTACATCAACAATGCACGGATTGTGGGAAGTCCACTATGGGTTAGTGTTGTCGCGATTAATCGATACATCGCGATATACATCGCCAAAGCTGGTTCTGGCGATGCATCGATGTCTGAAACAAAACATCGATGTTTTTAAAAAATTTTAATTTGCTAAAAATCGCCCTTTCTTATCTTATTTTGACTCAAATTGCTTACCTTTTTTCATGTCTTATTTCATTTTCAAATGTTTTCTGATATTCTTTCGCTTTAAAACTGTTTTAGCTAGTCGAAATGAACCATCAAAAAATTACTTTACTTTCATTTCACCGTTACTATGTTCCCGGATGTACCAGCGTACTCTTATTAATTTGTTCTGTTCGATATTTTAGTGCATTAGCGTTCGGTATTTCAGTGCACTTTTCTCGAACTTTTTCTCGATGTACATCGCGATGTGCATCGTTGTTTACTACTGAAAATTGCCGATGCATCGATGTACGATTATGGCACATCGCAACAACACTACTATGGGTCAAGATTGTGGAAAATCCCATTGAAGACCATTATAACGTTTCAATTCATAATATATTCATGGGCACAGATCTAGCTTGGCGAAGCAGTGCCTACAGTCTGTTAACTGTTAAAAATAATAACAACATAACTTAACGGTAACAGTACTGTCAACCCCTAAAGATTTTCTCGCGGGACAGATTTTTTAGACCCAGTGCCCAAAATTCGCGGGATTTTGTGGGACATCTACTAAATTCGCGGGATTTTACGGGACATTTAAGGGATTTGCGTGATTGCGCTAATAGGAGGTTTTTTTTTTAATTCGCGGGATTTCGCGGGACCATTCGAGGGACAAACACCCTAATTGCGGGACAGTTAACAGGTGTACCACCAAAAACTTCATGGAGGGACAGATTTTTTAGACAAAGTGCCCTAAATTTGCGGGATTTCGCGGGACATCCACCTAAATTTGCAGGATGTCCCGGGACATTCAAGGGATTTGCGTGATTGGGACTAATGTAAAAGCGTGTAGAAGTACTTAAATCAAACTTTCAGATACTGATTAATCAAATATAATGCACCGTTACATTGTAACTTAAATAAACGTAAACACAATTTCACAAAATACGCATAGGAATATTATTAAACTTTATTGTAATTTATCAAAAACAAAAACCATGCTTCAGGTGTGATTACCGTAATCTAACACGAAATTCAAAAATTCGGAACAATACTTTGCACTTCTGGCGTCGTGACCAACTATGAAACGCTTACCCCCATAATGTTATATATTAAAATGTACCTATTCATATACTGTAGGCATGGGCTTTCAATTGAAAGCCCATGATATAGGGGTTCGATTAATCTACATCAAATTATAGGGAATGAGGTTAATTTTATAGATAGGGTTTGTATAAAAAACCTGTAAATAGCTATCGTTGCTTTAGCAGAGAGGTGACGTGTGTTAATTTGCATGATGCAACGTGTAAGATTTTGATTATTAATCGTAATTTAAGTTATCCCAATTTATGACAAAATGTCCACTGAATTGTAAATTGTTATGTCTTACAATGTCATAGGCGTAGCCAGGAGAGGGTGCGATGATGCGATCGCACCCCCCCCCCATAACCAATGAAAATATGGCCATAACGATAGAGGAAGAAAAGTGCCTTAAAATATGCTTTTTATTTGAAGCTTCTAGCTCAATTTTGAATCATGTTACATACATTTTTGCAAATTCAAAACAAATCTTACACGTTTTCTCATAATCTAATTATGTTATATATTCGTATTTTTCGTTTTTTGGGTACCTGTTTTTTTTGACCGGGTACCAAGTTTGAACCCAGCATGGAGGATTTACTACCCGGTACCCGGTTTTTTATACAAACCCTTTCTAGATATCAGCGTACATTTATTGTAACTCGCGTTTGCTAACATTTGCTCAGTTCTGAGATGAAGGCCACACGGGTAGTAAAAAGGCCAACGTTGGAACTATTTGTGACCTACATCCCTATTTTCGTAATTAAAATGAAAGTTGAACCCTTCCCCTTTATTTTGATGCTATGTACTTAAAATTAGGTAAACTTTACTCCTCAAAAGTGCAAAAACTTAGCTTCTTATATAAGATAAGATAATCAAGATATTCAAAAATTCGCGGAGGTCAAAGCCACATTTTGCGTGACTTCGCGGGACAATGCGGGACACGCAAATTAGCCTAATTTTGATCAAATTCGCGGGATAATCCCGCCATTCGCGGGACACTTGACAGCTCTGCGGTAAGACCGGCTACAGGTCAGAATGACCTAGCAGTGAATAACTATAACTATAACTTCGACATATGAGTGTTACCTGATGAATGGGACCCTCACGTGCCTTCCAAATGGTAGTACACGAACTCTAGTGTAACTACATCAGCTTATTCTTCCGTCCGATCAACAATAAGTACAGTTATACAAGAAATGTAAACGAAGTGAAAATATTCCCCAAAATTTTTCGAAGGCATGTCATTCCGGAAGTTGTGATACGTTATGGTGTCACTACGGTAAATCATTGAAAAATATTGAAAAAAATCACAAAATTCAAGTTCTGGTGTGAGGTTCCATATCCATCCGCTAAAAGGTATGACACTATAAAGTCCATTAACAAATTTGTGGTTTTGTTCTAAATAACGCCATAGTTGGCTTCTAGGGTACCTAGTATCATCGTATCAAAATAAAGAAAATAAATAAAATATTTAACATAGGGTTTGCGTCTAGATTTTAAATATCACTACGCCATCATAGGGACTAATTTTTAGGTAAAATGCCTGCTTCAACGATGAAAATTAACGAATAAAGTAGTTCCTGTTTACGGGACCATATTCTTGCCAACTTCAATGGTGTGTATAGTAGGTTTAAGTGTATGCACTATGGCCATTTGAGGTATGTATGTAAAGCTGAGGCCAAGTACTTTCTAAATGTGCCATTTTTAGAAAAAAATCTCAAGAATATTCGTTAATTTTCATCGTTGAAGCAGGGATTTTACATAAAAATGAGTCCCTATGTTGGCGTAGTGATATTTAAAAATCGAGACGCAAACCTTATGTTAAATATAGCGTCAAGATGAAGGTTATGTATAGGATATTGCAAAAATATAGTCATTGTATGGGCTAATTCGTTCAAAAATGGAAATATGTACCCCAGAAGGTGTGAGTATTGTAATCCAACACCAAATTCGAAAATTCAGAACAATACTTTGCACATATGGCGTTTGTGATCAACTATAAAACGCTTACCCCCCCCATAGTGTTATATATCAAAATGTACCTGTTCATATAGGGGTTCGATTGATCTACATCAAATTATAGGGAGGCAGGTTACTTTTTGAGATATCAGCGTACATTTATTGTAACTCGCGTTTGCTACCATTTCCTTATTTCTGAGATGACGGGCAAACGCGTAGTAAACATGCTCACGCCGGAACTATTTTGACCTACATCGCTATTTTCGTAATTCAAATGAAAGTTGAACTCCTCCTCTTTATTTTGATACGATGAAATAGTGGCATACTAGGTACCCTAGAAGCCAACTATGGCGTTATTTAGAACAAAACCACAAATTTGTAAATGGACTTTATAGTGTCATACCTTTTAGCGGATGGATATGGAACCTCACACCAGAACTTGAATTTTGTGATTTTTTTCAATATTTTTCAATGATTTACCGTAGTGACACCATAACGTATCATAACTTCCGGAATGCCATGCCTTTCGGAAAATCTTTGGGAATATTTTCACTTCGTTTACATTTCTTGTATAACTGTACTTATTGTTGATCGGACGGAAAGATAAGCTGATGTAGTTACACTAGAGTTCGTGTACTACCATTTGGAAGGCACGTGAGGGTCCCATTCATCAGGTAACACTCATATGTCGAAGTTATGTTGTTATTAGGAGGCCCCAACGGGGGGCCTCCTATTAATTTTATAGATATTATTATTATTATTAGGAGGCCCTCCTGAAAGGGCCTCCTATAGCTTTTGTAGCTTTTCTTTATTCTTTATTCTTTATTTATTATTCTTCCAAAGCATTTTTCTCCTACTTCCAACTAGCTTTCAACTACTTACTATATGCTCCTACTAGACACCTGGGCTGGAATAGGGGGGAAAATATTTTTTATCTAGGTCAAGGTCAAAGGTCAAAATCTAGGTCAAATCTAAGTTTTTTTTCAAGTTTCTCAAGTTTGTCATTATACTTCATTATTTCTTGCGATGAATTAAACTGAAACTACATTTAAGTATTCTCTACAAATTGTTCACTATATGTCAGCATTAAATTTTTACCGTTTTTGAGATATTTGACGTCAAAAAACGGTCAAAAAAGGTCATTTTTCAACTTGCTTCAATCTGACCAATTTTTTTTTTAAAAATCATCTACAAGTTCCCAGGAGTCCAAATCTGACCTCAGATTTGACCTTTGACCTTTACTTGACCTTCAGTGACCTTCGAAAGGTCAGAAAAGTTGATTTTTCAAATTGAGTCTTCGGATTCAAATTTAGGTCAGTCTAATTACAAAAAGCCTACTGAGGTCTAAAAAAGTAAAAATTTCAAGGTCAAAGGTCAGAGTCATCAAATTAGGTCACAAACTGTGCTATCTAAGTTTCTCATAGTTCAAAACTACAAATCAATATTTTTAATTGAAAGTCAAGATATACATTTCTCTAAGGGTTCTACACATATTAGTCATTGACTATTTATTAAATTTTTTTCCCACTTTTGAGATATAAGAGCTCAAAAACTGAAAAAGGTCAATTTTTCAAAGTTTATAAGGTCAAATTTAAACTTGCTTCAAATTCACCAAACTTTTTTTTAAAAATCATATACAACTTTTCAGGAGTTCATATTTAACCTCAGATTTG